CTCTTTTGGAAGGCCAAACAAAGTAGTTTCGCTTTCACAACGAAAAACTAGCGGAAGCCCCGGCTTAGCGTGCGCTGAGGCCGGGATAGAGTGAGCTGAGGCCGGGCGAGAGAGAGCTGAGGCGGCGGGGTTGAGAACGGCGCGCCCGGAGGATCCGACGAATGAGCGGCAACCACATGTGACGGACCCCGGGCTGGATTCCGCTTCGTCCACGGTGAAAGTTGATGTATTCCCTCAGCGACCAGCACGGATCAGCTCTAGGCATGACGAAGCAGATATCCTCCTCTTTTGGAAGACCAAACAAAGTAGTTTCACTTTCACAACGAAGCACACAGCGTCTTCAGGATATGGCGGCGGAAACAATACTACAGTGAGAATCAAAGTTACGCCTTCTTTCTTTGCGTGAACATTTGGGCGGCGTTATGCAAATCTTCCCACAGAGCGACGTAGGTATGTTGGGGCGTGTTAGAACGAGCCGTTTTAGGTAGGTGTGGCTGACTTAACTTTTATAAAGAATATCTCTTTGGATTTGAGACTTTAGTCTTTGCAACTTTACAGATCTTCTTTATGCACCAAGAGCTTGTAACACTCCAAAGAGAAAGGAAAAATTGAAATCGCATCATATGCAACACTACACTAATAATTTAATAACACTTTAAAAAGTAATATTTAGATGATCTTAAACATTTTAATTATTTTGTATGTTTTTATTTTACTTGTCTTTTTGTCCATTTAATAAATTACTGGACATATCATCAAAATAAATATTGGCTTATCTGACAGAATTTTAATATGAGCGCATCCCTACATGAAATATAATTTATTTGTTTTGTTTTGTTTTTTTCCTTTGATTTTAGGGCTTTAAATTTGTGACCAGGTCATGGTTTTGTGAGATTCTTCCACTTCTAAACTAAGCCACACATTTCATAAACGACCACCCCTCCCTCACATGCAACATTTCAGCTCTTAAAAAAACTGCACTAAATGCAGCTAAAATCTCTTTCATGTACTTTAACACAGTACAATGCATAAGCCACTCAGTTTACACAAATCACAGGTAAAGCAGCTGGAAAAGCACATGCTAGGAGCTGGGAGTATTGGAGAGAAAATAATAAGTAAATATGACTAAATGCACACAAAAAATGCTCTGCATGCATCAGAAGAGGCTACACTGAATCAGTTCACATGCATGAATCAGCAGAGAATAATAAAAAATTAAAAAAAGTGCAAGAAGTGCGAGCTGGTAGACAGCCAATCAGAACATTCACTAAGCATATCCCATTGGTCGCATTCTTTGGTTTGTCACCTGAAACACACGGATGTGGCCAGCACAGATGAGAGACACCTTAAAGAAGAGCTTTTTTTGGCCCTGTGATTCAGACCCTGTCACTTTCTACTCCTACTTTATACAAACCTTCTGATCACAGCAGACACTACATCAGTGGCATAGATTGTGCACAAATAGAGCATTTTAAAGGTGTGAGGGGAAGTGGATTGTGGCACAGTGGAGAAGAATTTGTGTCGCAAACAACCAGTAGCTTTTATCTATGCAGAGAATTCAAACACACATTTGCCCCAGTCAGCCCTTTCTTTTATAGTGTTTTGACATGCTCCTCCACAGTCCCAGCGAGGGGTGGGAGAGATGGGGGAAGCAGGTGTGCGGTACATCTTGAGGTACCTGTTGGGGTGGGATGTGGGCAGCATGAACTGGAACTCCACGATGCACGTGTTGTCCTTCAGCTGACGGTGCTGGACGCTGTTGAGTTCATAAGCGATATAAGCTCTACGAACATACACCTGAGAAATGAGAGTGAGAACCATGTTCTTGATTCTTAACAAGACAAAAATAAACACTTCATTTCTTGGATAAATGTAAAATGACACAGTCTTACCTCTAAAGCAGCCATCCGTACCACCTGATTACTGTGGTAAAAGAAATTTGGCAGCACATCAAAGATGGATGTCTCTGACAGGATCAGTTTCTAGAAAAAAATCAAGAAAGGTATCAATAACTTAACACACAATGTTCAAGAGCAAAATATTACAACATTTTAATACACTACAGTTCAAAAGTTAGGATTAAGAATTAAAACATTTTTTAAATGTTTTTGAAATAAATCTCTTATGCTCTTATGTAAAATTGACAATAATATTACGAAATATCATTACACTACATTATTACAGTTTATATTTTTATATATGTGACCCTGGACCACAAAACCAGTCATAAAGGTAAATTTTTTGAAATTGAGATTTGTACATCATCTGAAAGCTGAATAAATAAGATTTCCATTGATGTGTGGTTTGTTAGGATAAGACAATATCTGGCTGAGATACAACTATTTGAAAATCTGGAATCTGAGGTTGCAAAAAAAATCGAAATACTGAGGAAAATCGTTCTTAAAAGGAAAAAGTTCTTAGCAATGCATATTACTAATCAAAAATTAAGTTTTTATATATTTACGGTAGTACATTTACAAAATATCTTCAAGGAACATGATCTTTACTTAATATCCTAATGATTTTTGGCATAAAAAAAAATCTATAATTTTGACCCATACTATGTATTGTTGGCTATTGCTACAAATATACCTGCGCTACTTGTGACTGGTTTTGTGCTCCAGGGTCACATATTTTAAAATGTAATTTATTCCTGTGATGATAAAGATGTATTTTCATCAGCCATTACTCCAGTGTTTAGTGTCATGTGATCTTTTTTCTTTGATAAATAGAAAGTTCAAAAGAACCGCATTTATTTGTTTGCACAACTAGCTGAATGAATTAAACAATAAACTGAAGTCACTATTAATGTACATTTAATTAATTTTCATTTATCATATTATTATTATTAAACATACTGATACTGTTACAAAACTGTGTAACAGTACCTACATGGCTTGTTCATTTTATATAACTATAATAGTACATTACTAAACAATATAATAAAGTGTAAAGTGTGTTTTAAACAATTTAACAGTACTGAACTTATGAAAGTATGTCTGGAGAAAATGTCTGCATATCAGGGAATAATTAATCAGCTCACGTTGATGTAATTAATTTAACCATTTACATTTTTTCACAAAAGTCAATTAAAATTATTTGCAACTGCAATTTAGAAAATTCTGCCATTCTTATTCATTTTTAACATAGTCAATTCAATTCAAATTTCTCATATGTAAATAAATGGGAGTCATTTATTAAATTGTAAAGTGTAAATAAAGTGGCAAAACGCTGTCTAGCAGATGGCACTATAGAGCAGTCATCAGACATCCAGCATGTCCTACCTGCAGGTTTTCAATGCAGAACTGATGCCCGTACATGTCGATGGCAGACAGGAAGATGGATTCCACCTGATTGTGTCGCAGCTCGTATGACGGAAGGTGCGAGGCAATGAGAACCTGCCGTGCCCGCAGCGCCACCTTGGCATTAGTGGTCTTGCTGAGCTGTGTGAGTTCTGTGAGTATTGCCATGAGCTCGTCTGTCAGAGTAGGGTCTCGTCCACACAGCTGATCCTACAGAGAGAAGTTAAGAACATTTTGATCATGAGTGGACTGGAGTCACAGACTAAATATAAACATGCTTTTATTACATCTTGACTGTTATTACATTGTGCAACTGCAATCTACAAGATGGCCTTCTGAATTATATATATATATATATATATATATATATATATATATATAGAGTTCTGTGAGTATTGCCATGAGCTCATCTGTCAGAGTGGGATCTCGTCCACACAGCTGATCCTACAGAGAGAAGTAAGAGACCAATGTTTTAATCATATGACTGTCTAAATATACATTTGTTTTGATTAAATCTCGACTGTTATTACATTGTGCAATCTACAAGAAACAACAACAACCAACATCCACATTTCCTGAAGTCTCTCTGTTTTGTGTGACTGTGTACTCACAATCAACATGGTGACCAGAGAGTTCTTCTTTGTGACTTGTGCATGAGAGAATATGTAGTTGAGCACATTAGCCATGTCCCCTTTGTTTTCCTCTCGTAGTGCAAATACACACTTGTCATAGTGACCTGGGAATAATATACACGCACACATACACAAATGAATAGTGAATTAATTAATACAAAAAAAAACACCTAAAAAGGAAAAAAAAAAAAACAGGTAATAAAATGGTGAGAATAGAAAAAGCAAACATTCTTAATGTATTAAATTCAAGTTAACATTTTATTCAAATACCTTATGTGTTATTTTAGTAGTATTTACATTCTATTATAATATTTATTCATATTTTGGATTAGCTTTTATTTTATACTATTAGTTTAGTTTAGGTTTTAGTAATTTTGTTGTGTGTTTTTGTCATTTTTTTTCTTAGTTTTATATTTCTATACTGCTTTAATTTTAGTATTTCAACTTAAACTTATTTAACTTATTTATGGCCAAAGCAACATTTTTTATTTTCATATTTCAAGGGTTTTAAGTTTTTCATCTAATATTTTATTTATATTTTATTTCAGCTTTATTTCAATCACCAAAAAAGATTTTTAATAGCTGTTGATTTAGTTAACAATAACATCACTGGCAATTATCAGAAAAATACATTTAAAAAATAAGTTTTCTGAATTTATAGGTAGCTGCCATTTTTATGAGATATATCTTTTGTCTTATTCTACTTTTTAGTTAATTATTTTTTTAACTTTTGTAATATTTGTATTAAAATGTTATTTCATTACTTTTCATTATTCACATGTTGGATTTTTTTGTTCTATTTTCTATTTAGTAAATAGTTTAATGTTTTCATTTAAATGATTTAATACACCAGTATGAATGAACCAGTGTTGCACTGCCATCCAGTGGTCACACAATAAAATAAAATAATGCAACATCCTAAGTTTCCAGCGATATCTAATCATTTGCAGGCATATAGGACGCGGTCTTACCATGTTGAAACTGAACTTCCACTCTTAAATACTGCCTGAGGAGGTCCATCACCACTGCCTTCATATGCCCTCTGATGCCACTGCGGTACCTGTGTACACCACACACAAGAGGGCCAGTTAACCTGCGTTTGTGATTGTGTGTGTACATACATGTGTTGGTTGTTTGAACGATTGACTAACTTCTGAACCAGCTGTACAATGCTCTGCGTGTTCATGAAGAAGACTTCTCTTTCTGACTTCCTGTTCAGTGTGGCAGCATGACTGTCCAGTATATTGGCAACCTGACATGACAATTTGACAACATTTATAAACAATGGTCACGGTCTCGTAGCTTCAGAAAGACATGAACTCAAAGGGCCACAAGTAGCACCTGCTGACTGGGAAACTGGCAGAGGACAGAGGTGATGTTGCTGGCGTACTGAGCCATTTCTTTCTTGATAGACTTCTCTACGGCAGGAGGGATACGGCCTGAAACGCTCGTCATGATATCCTGAAGCTCCAGCAGGGGCAGAGAGGGGTCCCTCAGAGTCTTCATCAGACGCTCCACCCATTCTTTCAGCTATAACACACACATACAAATCATAACGCCTTTTCACACCAAGCCTACCCTAGTAAAAAAAAAAGGTAATATTTCAATTGCAATAGTTCCACTTTAGTACAATCAAATATACTTCCGTTTATCTTTAGTTGGACTTCAGCACTACTTCCACACAATTAAAGTGCATTAAGGACAAAATTAGTTGTTCCAATTTAGCAGACTTAACAAGTATACAACTTTAGTATACCAAAAATATAATTTTTATTAAGCACATACATATGTAAATGTATTTGTAGTATACTTAGCACAAAATAAATGTATTTCAAATACATTTAAGAATTTTTATTTTGTGATATCTAATGAAATATGAATTTTCTTTAATTTTTTTAACTGCAGAAGTAAGAAGTACATGGCAATGACATATTTCTTTGTCATCCAATAATGAAACTAAGGGTGGTCACTATTATTATTATTATTAAGAAGAACATAGTTTCTTAACAACATTACTTTGTTGTTATATTATTTTTCAACTTATTTAATGGTTACTATTCTACCATCATTATCAGCAGTCTCTTGTGCATTTGTCATTTCATTATTTATTAGTTAATATTTTTAATAAATGAAAGTAGCAAAAATGTCACAACCAAATTCTCAACCAAATGCTGGGGCCTCAGCAAACTTCCAATCAAAATAACCTATTTTTAAAATAAGATCAATTAAAGGTGCTGTATGTAGGATTGACACCGAGTGGTTGAACTAGGTATTGCAGTCCAAATTCAAAATATTGGATAGGGTTTTTTCACCAGGCCCCTCCTCCTCAGACTTACCGCACACGCAGGTTGCCAGATTGAGGACACCAACAGGAACAAGCGCTTGACGATGAATGAAATGAACTACGCTGTGTTTTCCGCCAACTGGCAACCCGGGGTCCCGAAATACAATTGGGTAAACTGGCAGTGGGCGGGTTTCACAAACCAAAACAGAGACGACATTCCGGCCCGGAACGCACAATTTCAAAGGAGAATAACTGACTGTAGCATTGTTTTTCAGATAAACAAGTATGTTAACTTAGCATGTTTCTTAAATATCTGCAAACATATTATGGTATTTTTATGCTTTAGTAGAGTAAAAAACTTACATACAGCACCAGCTAAAACAAAAAAAAAGTAATAAATGAATGAATTAATAATTCTTATTTTAATTCAACCCCCCTCAGCAACTTTTTTTTCTATGAATAACTAAGATTCCCACAGTTAGGAAAAGCCTGGATATATGAGGTAGTTTACTTTCAAAAGTGTGATTCTAGACATGGAAATGTCATCTGAAATTACCATTTTTATAATGAATATACATTTTTATAGTTATGCCCAGCTCTAAGATATATTATTGGGTAGAAATTGAGGATTTTTTTAATTATCCAGTAAATTATGAACAAGTGGAAAAGTCATGTAAATTCACTGGTTTACAAGAGTGAGACCTTTGAAAAACATTCAGCACTTAAAACTTCTGGAATCCTGAAATTTTATTAAAAAAAAAAACTAGGATTGTTAGACTTAAATATTTATGTGGACATTAAGGGGCCTTGGGGTCAAAAAGTTTGAGAACCACTGCTATGAACTCCTATAATGTGGATGAAGGGCTTCATTGGTTACAGGTGTTTCATTATCAAGGAGCTGTTAATAATCTGTTTTCTCACCTTGGCACTAAAGAAGGGCTCTGGCAGACAGTAGCCATTCATTATGTGCACTAGGTGATCCAGAGTGCTGTGGAAGACTCTGTGAAGCTTCTCTCCCCTGAGAGCCACGGACTGAACACTGGGTAATGTTCCTGTAAACAGCTCCGCCTGAAACAGACACACTCATTTTAAAAATTAAACCATTTAATTTCTGTAACTTCTGAAAGCGAACCTATCACAACACATTTATCACATGTAACACATGCATAACTATACCTGCTGTACTCTGCTGGGATCGTCCAGCTGCAGTTTGGCGATGATACAGCCCGGCTCCAGCACTGCACCTGCTCTCTTCACATAGTGAATACAACCAGACTCAGAGGCCGTCAGGGTCATCACCATCTTCATCACCTACAAGACAATACATAATGTTTAGAATGAGGCAAACAAAGAAAATTCATACCAGTCTTGCGTAGCCAAAGTTCTTACTATCACACTTAGACAGGAAGGGCTTGTATAATTGACATGTCAAATAAACTACCTCACAAATCACACTTTTAGACAATTAGAAGAAAAAAATATAAGTGCAAATTAAGATAAAACTTTTGAGAGCCAAGCAGAATACATAGGTCTGCTACTTACGTCAAAACTCTTGACTGTAAAAAAAATTAAATAAAATCTGGCACCCTGACTTCTGGAAATTAGGTAAAGCTTACACACCTCGATTTCTGCATAACACTGTCCAGCAAACAGGTGTCCACCATCCTCCACAGTATACTGGATGAGTTTCCCAGCAGATGGTGAGCGCAGGAGTGAAGGATCATTCTCTTTTTCAAACACGCATGTCTTGTTACCAATAATGATGCGATACCTAAAGAATCAAATAAAATGCATACCAAATGATTTTCTACAAGTAACTATTTCTGTCAGAAACTTTTTACCATCTCTTATCAGTACTGGTATCAGTGATACTGGCCTGCATTGTTAGTATTTAGTAAAAAGATGCCAATAACAAATTAAAATACTGTCTTTATGCTGTTTCCATGTTAATTTGGTGTGAAAAATGAAAATATATTTATGAAAAATATATTTATAATTACCAATTTTATATGCAATTAATTATCTCTTTTTTAATCAACAACGAAAGTCGAAAGAGAGGAGTTTTCAGCTGTCGCTTGAAAATTGTCAGGGATTCAGCATTCCAGACAGGGGTGGGAGGATCATTCCACCAGCCAGGAATGGTGAACGAAAATGTCCTGGAAAGTGATTTTGTGCCTCTCTGTGATGGTACCACAAGGCGTCGCTCACTAGCGGATCTCGGACTTCTGGAGGGAATGTAGATTTGTAATTGTGAGTGGAAGTAGGCGGGTGCTGAGTCTGTGGTTGTTATATATGCAAGCATCAAAAGTGATTTTGAGCCTCTCTGTGATGGTAAAACGAGGCATCACTCACTAGCAGATCTCAGACTCAGATATAGACTATACTATACTATATATATATATATATATATATATATATATAGATAGTATAAATAACTGACTGCATTAATTTATTGAAAGCATTACACAGTGTCCTAACCAGACATGATGCAACAAGATACCAGCAACAAGTAATTTGGCTGTCCACACCAGAAGCGACACGACAACGCAACGGGACAGAATCACTCATGTATCACAGCCATTCAGAAGCGAGAAGCGCACTGCACTCTCAATGAAATGGACAAGTTTCTAATCTAATTCATAAATATTAAACTTTTTTAACATTATTAAATGCACATACTGAGTGACTGATATTATCTTTGTTATGGAATACGCTTGTTGGTTCGCATCGAGTTCACGGTTTTAATGTACATGTTTGCTTTAATTTAGTTTCAAGATCTGAGGTAAACTATCTATAGTTGCTTTCAGTATGGCTATAAAGGCCATGAAAATTTATATTCAAACTCACATTAGACACTTTTAACATTGAATAAAGCACATAATGAGTACCTTGTAAAACTATTGTTATAGTTTGTATGTTGTTGTTCCAGCCGCATTGCACAGAAAATAGAAACCGTTTCTAAAATAGAATCCCGTCACTTGTCTCGTGTCTCTGTAGCGGCTGGTTAGGACAAAAACTCAGACTAGCATGGAAAAGATACCTCTTATCGCATGTCGCGGCATCATGTCTGGTTAGGACACGGTGTTATAGATGGTATTCTTATTTTTAGTTCAAATAAAGGTGTCCAATATTTAAATGTAGTTCTGGACTTTAAATGATGAATTAACACATTGAGCACCTTGAACACTCTCACATGAACAGCTCTCATAGCTCTCAAAATGTCTTTGTGTTTTCCATCATGTATTTACTTTCAGAATCCTACCTGTCCACTTCCTCCTTCATGTAGGTAGTGTAGCTGCTGCCATCATACGAGAGCAGCAGACCCCCGTCGCTCAACCGATGAACATCCACCTCCGCAGAGTTATTCATGATGACCACGTAAGAGTTAGGACACTGTCTGGTCACCTTGAGAACATATTTGGTCCCCTCATAGATTAGCTCAACATCTACTGTGTTTAACAGCGTGTGTGCAGGTAAAACCTGCCCTCTACAGACACAGGAGAAAAGAGCAAAACATCCTATGACTGCAATAACAACTACATACAGTTTATACTTAGTAGGGCTGGGTTGACAACTCATTAATCAATTTTAATCTATTTTGATGTACAGATATAGATTCTTAAATTCCAAAATCATTATTTTCAAAATCGGTCTATGCTATCGAGTTGATACTTGAACAAATCATATTACTTTAAAATGTATTGCTTTACCAAAACATTACTTGTAGCACACCTCCCATCCAATAATTGCAATAAGCTTTGTTATTTATGGTATCAAATAAAGTCTTAGCTTTCAAATTTTTGGGGTTTGTTACCTCTCCAGTGAATGCAGGAAATTGGACACACTGTTTCTGAGGTTGACATCAGCCACATGCAGAGCTCCACTCACTACACCCAGCATAGTGTCAGGACGCTCGGCCTAGACACACACACAGAGTTACAATGATGTGATATAGTGAACTCAATATAGGGAATTATATTTGCGCACCAGACAGGAAATATCACAGTGTCTTGCGGTCACAGGTGATTTGACTGAAAATGGCAGGAAGCAATAATGGGCATGTTCATTAGAGTTGTGATGTGAAATGAAGAGGGTTGTTTCCCGCACCTGCATCTTCTCTGAGATGAGTCTGTCCAGCCAACCTGTGTCGATGCTATTGTGCTGGAAACTTTCTGTTTCTAGCAGCTTTATAAGATACTCCACTGTAGTCCTGAAGTCTCCTCTGATGGACAGCTCCTTGAGGGCCACCACCATGTTTCTAAGATGACACATACAGCAAAATAAATAATATTTCTTTTATCATCTTTTTCTTAGTGACTAAATGCAGAGTCAACGAAAAAAAGAAGAAAAGGGTATGTATATTTTACAGAAGATTCTATGTGAAATCACATTGTAGTGGTGTAAGGTGATTGTAACGAATATTCTTCTGAAAAACAGATGACTGGCAGTACTCACGAGATGGCCTCCTCACGGTTCTCTCCCCAGGAGAAGCAATGGCCAAACTGAGAGTCTGCAAACTCATGCAGCCCTCCAGCAGCCGCCACGCTGAAGTAGCCCCACACATTCTTGTTACTGCGGAAATTTAACTCCTGGACAGTTCCTGAGCTGGGCTTAAAGCCCTGACACACAAAAATACCCAACACAGACAAAGCATCATCAGAAGTTGTTTAAATGGTAATTACTTAATATTATTTTCTAATATTTACACTACTCCCGTTCAAGAGTTTTGGGGTCGGTAAGATTTTTTAAAAATGTTTTTGAAAGAAATCTTTTATGTTCAACAAGGCTGCATTTATTTTATAATAAAGCATTGCTGTTTTTACTTATAATTAAGTAAAAAAACAGCAATACAGTGAATTATTTCTGTTTTATATATTAAATGTAATTTATTCCTGTGATTCCTTGACAACAGTTGTGCTACTTATTGATATTTTTGAGGAAACCATTTTTTTCAGGATTCTTTGATGAATAGAAAGTTCAAAAGAACAGCATTTCTTCCCTTTTGATCAATTTAAAATGGAGGAAAAAAAAGTATTAATTTCTTTCTTTCTTTAAAATCCCTTAATCCTACCCCATACCTAAACTTAACAATGACCTTACTACCTTTCAATAAGCAGCAAATTAGGAGTTTATTTATGCAAAAGTCGTAGTTAATAGTTAGTTAATAGTGAGAATAGATCCTTAAAATAAAGTGACAAAAATCTTTCTAACCCCAAACTTTTGAACAGTAGTGTATATTACATTACAATCAGATTTTCCCCATGACATCTACTTAAAATATTCATCAAGGCTTCTTTTCACAAAATAAACGTTGCACAAAAGACATATTCAGGTTTTTTCCACCCTCTCTGACCCTTAGAATTAAACAAGCCATTTTTTGTTGCCGTGACAGAGCTTTATCAAATTTCCTTTAACGCTTTAAATATTAAAATAGTCAGGATCACACACCTCATCTGGGTTCTCGCTAGTAATTCGAGCTGCAATTACATGTCCTCGCGGAGAGGGGGTGGTGGAGAGTCCATCAAAGTCAATGGGGGAATCTCCCCATGGCTGCATCCCGTACATCACCCTGATGTCTTTAATGCGGTGAAGTGGGATGCCCATAGCGATCTGAATGACAGAACATAAGTGTCACAAAGTTACCAAAAACAAGTAAATTAAAAACAGCATTGTTTAATTTTACTGTTAAAGATTGCATAAAATTAAAAACAGTCCACATGCAGTCTCTATGATATTCTGGCCCTTTGACATGAGTAAAATATGCATAAGAAGATACATGAGTTCACATTTCTTCAGTTATTAAATACGTACTTTTCCTCCAGCAGCCGCCACGCTGAAGTAGCCCCACACATTCTTGTTACTGCGGAAATTTAACTCCTGGACAGTTCCTGAGCTGGGCTTAAAGCCCTGACACACAAAAATACCCAACACAGACAAAGCATCATCAGAAGTTGTTTAAATGGTAATTACTTAATATTATTTTCTAATATTTACACTACTCCCGTTCAAGAGTTTTGGGGTCGGTAAGATTTTTTAAAAATGTTTTTGAAAGAAATCTTTTATGTTCAACAAGGCTGCATTTATTTTATAATAAAGCATTGCTGTTTTTACTTATAATTAAGTAAAAAAACAGCAATACAGTGAATTATTTCTGTTTTATATATTAAATGTAATTTATTCCTGTGATTCCTTGACAACAGTTGTGCTACTTATTGATATTTTTGAGGAAACCATTTTTTTCAGGATTCTTTGATGAATAGAAAGTTCAAAAGAACAGCATTTCTTCCCTTTTGATCAATTTAAAATGGAGGAAAAAAAAGTATTAATTTCTTTCTTTCTTTAAAAAAAAAAAAATAAATAAAATCTGGTAACTAGTTTCGGGACAAATTCTCACTATGAACTAGTTGTTTATTAGCACGCATATTACTAGCATATTGGCGGTTTATTAGTACTTATAAAGCACATATTAATGTCTTAAGCCCCGTCCACACCAGCGAACCATATCGTCTGTTTATTCCAAGCACACACCCGTCTGCCACTTTAAATTCTCAAGCTCGTTACAGCAGGATGGATTCTGATTGGCTGTCAGTGTTTTATCGTTCATCAGCTGGAAAAAATCGTTTTGAAAGTGATCACAACAATATCGTTCCTCTGTATCGTTATCGTTATAGTTGTGGTGTGAACTATGCTATTCTTTAAAGGGGTCATATGATGCGATTTCAAGTTTTCCTTTCTCTTTGGAGTGTTACAAGCTCTTGGTGCATAAAGAAGATCTGTAAAGTTGCAAAGACTAAACTCTCAAATCCAAAGAGATATTCTTTATAAAAGTTAAGAGTCAGCCACACCTACCTAAAACGGCTCGTTCTAACACGCCCCCACATATCTAAGTCAATATGCCGCCCAAATGTGCACGCAAAGAAAGAAGGCGTGGTTTCAGGAACAGCAGTAGTGTTGATGCAGCCATGTCAGGGAGACGCTGTGTTTCAGTGCGAAAGCAAAAGCACTTTATTTGGCCTTCCGGAAGTAGATGCAATTAGAAATCATTGGTTAAGATTTATGTATAACTAATGCGGTGAAGTGGGATGCCCATAGCGATCTGAATGACAGAACATAAGTGTCACAAAGTTACCAAAAACAAGTAAATTAAAAACAGCATTGTTTAATTTTACTGTTAAAGATTGCATAAAATTAAAAACAGTCCACATGCAGTCTCTATGATATTCTGGCCCTTTGACATGAGTAAAATATGCATAAGAAGATACATGAGTTCACATTTCTTCAGTTATTAAATACGTACTTTTCCTCCTAATTTCTACACTCACTTCGTTATGCAATTAATGAATGCCTCCCCACTGCGTTCCTCTCCCCCTGTTGCCCTTTTCAGTCTCTCCTTTTCTCTCTCCATCAATTTCCCTCATTCATCTGCAGCAGTCTTTGTGTCTTACATAAGTGTATTAACACCCTCTCCCACTCCCACTGGACCTATAGCACACTGGCCTCAGCCAAGTGACCTACATAGCAAAGACAGTGGTCACGTGGTCAAGTGTCTGCCGCAAAGACTGTACTGTATTGTTCACTAGATGCTGCCAGTCTAGCGATTGTGGAGATCCGTGGCAAAGGTGCTGTGTGGCAAAGTTGGTTTAGTAAATGAAAAATTTACAAGTCCACTTTACATTTATTAAGCAATATTTTGGTAAATACTACTTAAACACTACTGGCAGCATCTGTGGTCTGCTGATTATTACCACAAAAATAATATCTGGTAAAACAGTAAAAATGTGCAGTAATGTTGAAATTGAGATTTATACATCATATGAAAGCTGAATAAATAAGCTTTCCATTGATGTATGGTTTGTTAGGATAT